CATGTTGCGGGCTTCTTGCGCTTCGATGTCCGCGAGGCGTTCGTGTAGTGTTGCGTCGTATCGCGTCGGGTTCGTCGCTCCCGATGGACCGAATGTAACACGATGCGCGTCCGATCGTCGACTATCGTTTCGTTCGACGTTAGCTTGACGAATAGTCGGTTGTGCATCAACATGTGGGGACGGCAGTATATTTTGACTGATTCGCTCCAGCATGTTTGAAATCTGTCGCTGTTCCATTGACATACGCGAGAGCGACCTTTCTAATTCAGTCATCCGTGCCTCGATCCACGCGTTATTCGAATTGTCGCGAATGTTCTGTCGGATCGCCCCGACTTGTTCTGCCGCGTGCGCTATCGAGCGGGCAACGTATACGTCCTCGACGTACGGTGCGCCTAGCTGACCGCTTGCGCGCGTAAGTTCCCCCGGTCGTTCGACATCAGATTCGTCGTCTGATGTGTGTAGCGCGACGTTCACCGGATGTTCCTCCTGTAAAGGTGGTACGCCGGGCTGCTGATTATTCGCGTCGAGTTCACAGATACGGTCCGTGGAGTTGTCTAAAACCCCCACTTCGGGTTCGCGGACCGGATTTCGCTATCGAGCGGCGTACGGGGCGGTAAAGTTTCAGTAGCTGGATTCCTCCCTTCGCTATGTATGTTTTCCTCTAGCATAACTAGCGTGTTGGGTTTCGTCGCGTAGCATGGTAGCTGTCTAAAAGCGCATTCTCGACGTAATTCAGCGCAATTCATTTGTGCTAATGTTTTCCCCGACATATTGACCGTGAATATTTTGTTTGTTTACAAAACTAAATAATCAAATGTATGTTACTCTAAAAGCGGAGATAAACAATATCTTCGTGTACGGTAAAATATACTACTGCTGTAGAAAACAAGTGTTATTATTATTGCTATTGTTGTAATAAAGCACCGCGATGAGATGGTACGGGGCCGCCGTATATGATATGGCAGCGAGTCAACAATAATAATAACGGTTCCCTGGGAATCGGCCGCTTTGACAAGGTCAGACGAAAATATACTATTTTTATCTACCAAAAGACTGTAACTTCACTTCTTGTCGATATCGATAAGGTCTTTATAACAAACTGTAACCAACGCTTTAAACGACAATACTTACGGCGGATTGTATTAGATAAACTGCTCTAACTTTATTTAAAAAAAAAATTTTCCCTGAGACCAGGCTAAATCTAATCCCGCTAACACGTAACTGTGAATAACCCAGGTAAAAATTCACTGCTATCACCAGTGAAATCCGTTCAAATAACTATATGAACTATCAAATTTGTAAGGGAGACTTCACCGTTTCAAGTTAAAACTAAAATCTAATATAATTAGAAAAAAAACTGAATCGGCTCAAAGCCTCTTACCTTAACTTCCCTCGGCCGGTTGAGATTCCTTTCGGGGAGCCACTTAACGCGTAATCCAATATGGTGTACGGTTGAACACTGATATCACGTCTCCCGGTATACGGGTGAATACCACACACAAGTTTAAAAGGAAAATGAAATGAGCTATAGTTATATTACGCTCTAATAATAATAATAGGCATATATCTATGTATATTGATATTTATATATATTTCTATGTTATTAATGATTGAGAATAGAGTTCCGCACGCGGCTACCGGCACAGACAGGTGAATTAACCACAAAAATTAGTAAGTAGGTAATTGCCGTATGAATTGTTGTTCCACAATCCACGTAAAGTAAAGAAAACACTCGTACACAGCGAAAACCAGTTCAGGTCAACGTCGGAAAACGAATAGAACGCAATATCGGTAATCCATATTCGGCGGCGGCCTTATCTCAGTGTCAAGGGCGGGGAAACAACCGATGACGACCGATTGTTATATTAATAGCTGGACGGCTGATATCGAGAGAGACACGGGTGAGCGCCAGCCTAGAGCAAAAGGCGGTGCCGTGTCAATAGCAATTATATTTGCTATGTAAAAAACAAAAACAAAATATTTATATTTTTTAATTTCTCACAAAATTATCTTGGTAGCGATTACATAAGTAAGTATTTTTATAAAATTTCCATAAATTTAAAACTGAGAATATTTTTATAAATAAAACCCCTTATATATTACAAGGGTATGTATTATTTTTTTAAACGTCATATTTAACTAGCTTATAAAACAGAAAACAACTGTCGTAACACAAATAAAAGAGAAACGAAGAGGCGAAAGAGCGTACGACAATGATGAGTCTGCTGCCTTAGTATTCACGTGCGTGTAATTATACAGCAGATGTAATATTATATTATTACATATAATATTAATATATAATAAGATGTTATCATTTGTTCATGTATGTCACATATTATGATTATACAAGATCACCAAAACAGGGTTCTCTTATTTAAAATACAAAATAACCCTTTAACTATACGATAAAATCTCCCTCTTGTAGAAATTATTAAGTAACGCCTACATGCAGGAAGCCTCTTTTAATTAACCAATTAGAATACAAAGCCTCAGCTTCTAGGATCACGGTAGAGATCGCTGGGCTACCCCCTTCACACTATAAAAAGCCATTTTTCCCCATCTAAACCAGTTCTTTTGACGATTTTAAAATACACAAAATCTACGACACTCTACTCAAAATTTCACTCTCCGGGACTTAGTCGATTTTTTAATTAATTTGGACTTAGAATATTTTTCTTTAAAACTAAATGACACTTAGAAATTTTAAAGTGAATTTTGTTTTGGTGAATCTTTTAATTTAATTTAATTTATTCAATCATTAATAATATTTTATTTTTCTTGTTGTGGAAATAAATATAAAATAATATTTTTAACATTACATCTTTTTAAAATTATTTTATTTTAATAATAAACCCAACCTAACTTTAGATTTTTATTTAATCTTAAAAATTTATTGTGAGCTTTTCTTATTGGGTAGCTAGTCTCGTTACTAATGTCTTTGTTTTAACAAACATCGCGCCGGCAGACAGAGCTAAAGGTCACAATCTTCTCAATTTAAATTGAGATTTAAATTTATTTAATGGTAATTTTATTTGACTAAGTGTATTGCAATCCTATACTTATTGGGTAGCTAGTCTGGTTACTAATGTCTTTGTTTTAACAAACATCGCGCTGGCAGACAGAGTTAAGGTTGCAAGTAAATATTATTCAAGAATTAGGTATATTAGGTTAGAATATATTTGTAAGCCTATGCGTATTGGGTAGCTAGTCTCGTTACTAATGTCTTTGTTTTAATAAACATCGCGCCCGCAGACAGCGTAAAGAAACTTACAAATATATTTTTGGTGTTTAATTTTTGTCTTGGAAATTATTGTGCCGCATCCTTTCAAGGTGCTTTATTTTAGCACCGGGACACATTGGGCCACCACAATTCTGCCTTGATAAATTTTTTACATAGATATAGATATTTCTGAATCTTTTTTTGGCCAGACCAGAGGAAAATTTTAGAAATATTGGTATCGATCTCTCAATAAAAAAATATACTCTCTAAAAATATACTTATTCAATAAACGTAAAAAAAATCAATAAGTAAAAACATCAAAATTGTTTTTATAATAAAATACAGAGTGTTAAAGGAAAGTGTTCAATATTTGATAAAATGCGTTCTGTGATAAATTATTTAGTTTTATAATAATAATGTTAGTTAATAATTTATAATCACAATATTGTAGTTGTGAAATCAATAAATGTTATCAACATAGGGCATTATTAAGAGATGTCTACTATACCGGACAATATATCAACATTTGGGCCGATGTAGTGGTCGAATATTTCGTTAATAATGCAGAGTATGAAAAATACGATTTAATTGAACGTACATCGGTCGATCAGGAGATTTATTTACGAAAATTGTATGAAAAGCTACTCACCGTAAAGTCTGATTATGGGCATAAACGTTGGCTTGAAAGTATTAAAATTATTAGTAATACTTTTAATAATAAAATTAAAACTAATANAAAAAAAAAATTATTAGTAATACTTTTGATAATAAAATTAAAACTAATAGTTAATACACGAAACTAATTTACTTTATAAAGGTTGAAAATTATGTTTACATAGATTATTTTTATTGTACAGAAAGACTTAGCTTATTTACAGGTAGCAGTCAAAAGTTGGGGAGTAGATTTAAAAATCGTCGTATAATTGATCTTGTTTGCATGTACAACTTAATTGTATTACGTAATCAAGATGAATGTTAGCATTATCATTGAAACTGGTTTTCATTTGACGATTTATATTAGCCAATATAGATTCAAAGTAAGATTATGATTATGAATATTAAACATAGGTTTAACTGAGCTTAACTCGACTCAGCATATGGCAAATTTGGTACCGACATACTATCGCACCCCAATTACCTATCTTAATTTTAATTTGGATGGCGAGACTGTAGATGAATATTCAGAGTGGTATTTATAATTTGTAAATAATAAGTTTGTTTTTGTTGTAAGTTAATTATTTTTTTCTTTCATATTTTGTATATAATATTAATAATAATATACATTAAGGGTAACAAAATTAGCAATTGCTTCTAGTGTTATGCATGTGACAGGATGAAGTACAAGAACAGGTATAGATCTTTAAACATAGTTTTTTCATACACATATTCTATTTTACATCATGAAATTTAACATTTTTTACATGTGATAATGAATACTGTACAAATATGTGCGGTACAAATCCACCATACAAATACCTTGTTATTTAACCGACAAATGTATAGATGTTTTTATTTTAACCATATTTAATATTATTTTTTAATATCATTATTATAATTCTATTGCAGTGATTAATGTGTCAAAGCAGACCGACACAATTACAGTCCCGTCATTTGACCTACGTATTGAAATTGAAGCATCATCCGCGTTCCCTGCTAATACAACTGCATATGCTCTTGTAATTTCAGACAATGTATTTACATATACACCTTTTGACGGTACCATCCGTATATTTTATCATTTTTTACATGTTTATGTAAACATTTATTATTAATCTTGTAATTATTATTATAAAATAAATATATTATATGCAAATAACAACACTGTTTTTATTTTAGATTATAAGTTTATTATAAGAAACTAGTACAATATATAAAGTTATTGTTTATAAATTATTAATATAAGTTAATTTTCTGACGTGATTGGGTTTCGGCCATTGTGAAGCCCATGGACTATAACTATTTTCTTGGGTATACACTGTTGTATTGAAAAATGTTGGTCCATCATTTTCATCGCACATTTCTTCTTCTTTTTCCTAAAACATAATTATATATTTAATAACAATAAAGGTTATTACAATCTATGTTTATTAAACTCACATTAATTTGAAGTATGTCGTTGGACCATGACTTGACCCAACTATCAACTATTACATTGTACGCTAAATTCTTCAGCTCGCTTATGTATTTACTGTCACCTTTAGGAATAGTATCGCATATTTCTATGTCGTTCAAACTTTTTATAAAATTAACCATTTCATCATTGTTCGAATGTTGAATTTTATAACCTGACCATTTACTGTCGGCATATTGTATAATGCGGTCTATTTGATGGCTTAATAGTAAACGTGTTTTTATTTTTCTTGATATTGCACTGTTAATAGTACACTGTAAGTCCATAAGTCTATTAATGTTTTCGTTATTCAATAACACTCGACACCCATCCACTATTCTGGATTCTAATACTAAATGCATGGTATCACGGTACAATACTTTGGTTATATTAAAATCGACATTTTGGTATAACATAATGTTCTCTCCTTTTACCGGAGGTGATTGTAGGAATAATGTTATTTCATCCCTCATACCGTAAATACTATTTAAATAATCTGCTGACATACTAATATATCGTGAAGGAGTAATAATGCATACCGTAACATTGAAGTCATCCTTTGGATTCAGGCCCACTTGCAAAAATTTTCTGTCGCTGAACGCAATAGTGTAACTGTTAGAGTCAATCATCTCGGCTGGCGGTGTTGGTGCGATATAAATGTAGCGCTGTTTTCTTACAGGTTCGGCAGCCATATTATTCATAGAGTAGAGTCTTCTTTTTAGAGCTGATGGTTCTTGATGACACTGTGACTTTATCAACGATTTCATGCTCATTTATGCGGAAAAATCACATATTTTCATAGGGGGGTCAGCCAATCATAGGACACATATCCCCGTATACTAACTCTTTTCTTCATCACTTAAGTAATTTCACTTTAATATCATAATAATTAATTTTAAACTCTCGATTTCTAAATATTTGTATACAAATATATGTAATAGATTATGTATATACATGTTTTATACAATAACGATTACACATTAACAAAAAATGTCTATTAACAAACGCGGTAGTGTGACTGAATAATCAAAAAAGAATTTGATAAAATATTATATCTAACGTATAAATATTTTCTCTAAAATTAAAAAATAACTCAATTCTTATAAAATAGTATAATATTGTACATATTTATTTATTTACTTTAATATCATAATAATGATCACCTTATGGTGAGTTTCATCATCACCTCCCCTTCTATGTGTAGTATCACACTTTAATACATGTAATAATTAATACTTATATTTAATAAAATATATCACCAAATCAGTGTTTTCCCGTGGATAAGATGAATAATAAAATAATACCCTTACACAAGATTTAACCTCCCTCTTACGCATTCCATAAAAGAATTCTATTAAAATATTAGAATTCCNTAATACCCTTACACAAGATTTAATCTCCCTCTTACGCATTCCATAAAACGCCCACGTAAAAGATTCTATCACATTAACCAATCAAATACAGCAAAAATATTTCAAGAATCTCACCAGAGATCGCTAAACCAGTTTTTGCAGGCTATAAAAAGGCCATTTTCCCCCAAATTCGGGTGGTTCCTTTGCACTTGGCTCTCTTACAGTGGTTTCTCTGAGCATCCCTCTAGCGAATACTGGGACGCTTTGCCATTCTATACATCTCTACGGCTCTCTGCAATACTCAACTAAGATACAAAAAGTGAATGTGCGTGAGTTTATGTTTCATTCTAGTAACAATTCTATATGAAATCTACATAATTTTTACCCTCTTTCGTAATTACTGAAAAATATTATACATCTTATTTTCGGTCGAATACTTTTGGTGATATAAATATTCTGACACATATAAAATATTGGTGTTTATTTATTTCTTTTTATTTACATTTATATTCATATATATATAAACATACTCTGAGGTAATTAATTTGATTGAATTGTATTTACTACTTATTGAAGGGCCATAACCTGGCTGGACAGGGTAATAGTACAATAATATCATAATTAGAATTTTAGTTAACCATAAGATTTCTTCATAGTGTCTCTCCACTTATCGACTAGCTAGTCTGATCTCTGCCACAGTGCGGGCAATCGGAGTGTAGGACACTAACATAACTTATCGTGCATAAATCTATAGTACAGTCGCATCTAACCTAGGTCGTCCTACAGGTGATTGAAAAGAAGTAGGCCACATATCATAAGGTTCTTTGCATAAAGACAAAGATATTATTTGAGATCTCGCGTTGGTATATCCAGCTACGAAATACAAATAAATCAGAGTCGAAATATTATACTAAAAACTAATATTTTACTAATATATATTTATAACTAACATCATACTAAACAACTAAAAGTGTCTCTCCACTTATCGACCAGCTAGTCTGATCTATGCCACAGTGCCGGCAATCGGAGTGTAGGACACTAGTATAATCTATTGTGCAAAGAATTGAAATTGAGCTCGCATCTACCCTAGATCACTATTTGGACGACTGAAAAGACGTAGGCCACTTGGAAATAGTTTGTTGCACAGGACAGTTATGTTGCTTAGAAGTTATTTATTTGCTTTATAAATTGTTAAATATTAGACATATTAAGGTAAAACACCATATACAAGATTAAGAACTATACTACATAAATATACAAAAGGTTTTTACAAAAGACAGAATTATAATAATCTTAGACTTTACCTTGAGTGGATTTAATATAGAATTGTACTAGAAAAGTAGTTATACGCGAGTTAGTAATAATATAAACCGTATAAATATAATTGCGTACATTAATGCGTAAACGTATACATCGATAATTGTTACATCAACAACATTATTCATCTCAAGAGAATATCAGGATAGTCAGAGGTAAGTGAAACATTTGTTTATATAATAAGCTTATAATAGATCCTTTACTGAAGAATATTTTAGTAATAAACAATTAGAACAAGGTAGGTCATTGAGAGTAAATTAAAATATTTTTATAAAAACACGATATTTGTGAGTCGCCGGAAATTAGTGTGCGCATTTCTGTGCAGGAGCTAGGTAGTGACCCTTCTTTGTAATTCCATCTTATTCATATATTAGACGTTTTTACACAAGCATACATACCCCGAGATCCCTTTCTATTTCATTTTATTGTAGTCACTGCCGAGTATCTATAGCCACTTTTACTTTCCATTGGTGCCCATCCTTTTCACACTACGCCCGCTACGATTATTATTTCCTTATTGGCCACCTGTGTTACATTTCTTTACATTTCTTCTCTTTCACACCCCGAACCCCAAACACATTTAACAACATTCCTTCGCCACCTTATTATAGCCATTTTTATTTATTACAAGACTACCTACCTACCCACCTACCACGTGTCTCTTTTTGTTTATTACATATGTAGGGGTAAACCGCTGATTTACTGTTTTAATACATACGTTAGTCAATTAGGGGACTAAAGGTCTACACATAACATAGCTATAGTTGGGTTTCGATGGATTAATAGCCGCCGTTGCCGCTTGATTACACCTTTCATTTTTCTGCATTCAAATATTTTCACATACTTCTAAAATTATGCAATTTTCAAAATTTTTCTATAATATATCAAGGTATACTATATGACGTTCTATCTACCTAAGTATACTATGCATATACCAAGGTAACTATACATTTACCATGGTATAACAAAACGCTATCTAAGAACGAGCAGCAACGACCTTTCACCATATCCCCCCCGGCCGTTTACACCGCCCGTCTTCCTATGGCAGGGTAAACCCTCATCATGTGGGTGGGTGGACGATGCCTTTCACCATATCTCCCCGGCCGTTTACACCGCCCGTCCACCTAGGTAGAGGAAACGGCCAGGGCCGTTTTGGGGGGTACCAGCTCATACTTTATAGATCTACTATAGTGCTTTATTTGACATATGATTAAAGGACGCTGTAATTCAGGAACATTTTCAAAAGTTANATGCCTTTCACCATATCTCCCCGGCCGTTTACACCGCCCGTCCACCTAGGTAGAGGAAACGGCCAGGGCCGTTTTGGGGGGTCCCAGCTCATACTTTATAGATCTACTATAGTGCTTTATTTGACATATGATTAAAGGACGCTGTAATTCAGGAACATTTTCAAAAGTTAAGTTGAAAGAGTTCTATTTTTCATACGTATGTTTCAAGTTTTCAATGACCCCTGTATAAGGGAAAATTGCCTAATTTAAATAAAAAGTATGAAAAATTATAAAAGTATTCACAATATATTTAGCAAAAAAAATTGTGGTGATACATACATTTTTCTATAAGTTACAGCAATTTAAAATTTAAAATATAATATCGAAAAATTAAAATTTTAACACAAAAATAGCATGTTTCTAACTATAGTAAATTTTTCTTTTTTTATGATTTATTTCAACTAATACTAATTCAATGCTATTAAATACAATTTAATAACTTAAGTAATTTATATTCAAGTCAGTAAACATTTGAAAAGATAGAATGAAGTGTTGAAACTTTAAAAGTAACAAAGTGTAAAAAATAAGCTGTTTAATTCTTTTTGTGTTATCAATATATTGTTATCATATGTAAAAAATTCAATAAATTTTTAAAAATAATATATCAAAATATTTATCTTTACATAAAGTATTTTTTTTTTTTATATCTTGACTTTTATTGTATAAATCACTGGATAACTTCTAATATAGGTGTTTTTTTTACCGTTTTATAGAATATTCTTCGAAAACTCGAGATCAAAATCCTAAAATACTGTGCGCCTCGATTTAAATTTTTTCAAATGATCTTAAATTTTCAAAATATAATTTTTTATACTAAAGAAAAAAATGGAGGGGTCTCCTGAAAGAAATTTCGAAATTCGTAAATTAAGGACCACCCTATTAACCAACACACGGTTTAAATAACATTATTAGTGGTTTATTTTGAACATACAATAAGAAAAAAATGAAAAAATATGTTATTAATATTAGAATAATACTAGGATGGTTCAGATCCAGTGAGACAATAATAGCACAGAGTATAAAATAAAATAAAAAACGAAATATAAATCACATTAATACAATAAAAATAATAATGAAATAAAATACATGATTGGACGTTAAAACAGTGCATGTAATGAGTACGCGCGGTTGAAGTGAAACTTCTTTCGTTAAGAAGATATCGCGTGAAAATTGCATCTATTGTGGTTCTTTAAAATTATTTTATGCACAATTAAAATTATTTGAAATTAATTTATTTAATAAAACTACTTTTATTTTCGAAAATACAGTGCTAAATTATAATATAAAATATACTTTACAGCCGACAGTGATGCCGTCTGTAGCCGTAACTTAATATAATTTTAAGTGAAAGCTAAAAAAATGAGTATTTTAAAATTTAAACTAATAATATTTTTACGTATGTTTTATTAATCTAAAATAAGGAATAACGATTATTTATGTATGCAATTTTATGATCCAATTCGATCATAAAAACGGTATTATCGATTATATCCACATCTTCTTGTTTACCATAAACTGTATTATTTAATTGTGCTCTGTACCGTAATAATTCTAGCATTACATCACCTAAATCGTATGACTTACGATCTAAAAAATATAACATTATAAATGAAATAATAGATTTTTTATAATAATTTGTTAAATAATTACTGTCTTTATTAATGTTTGTTTTCCAATCATTCACCGTTTCTTCCTGAAGTATACAAAATAGTTTGTTGTAGACATAAAAAAAAACACATAATTTTTTTAATACAACGTGTTACTTGGATAAAAAAGCGGATTAAATAACACTCGTTAATTTTGACTCTAATCATTGCAGGGAAATAAAGTACGGAATAGAACTGTATGAATAAATAAAATGAATTTAAAGCATACAAACAATGAATTATATCAAAATATAAACCAAAAAATATTATAAATACAGAGTGGCTTAGTACTCACTAATAAGTTAAATAACTTTTAATCCATTTAAAATTTTTAGCTGGTTTTTTTTTAATAAATGTTATACGTTATGTCTATAATTATATCTCATTAATTCATTTTTTTTTTATTTTATCAAAAATATTATTTATTTTTAAGTTTTAAATAAAACGTAAAAAAAATATCTCCGAGAGCTATTTTGTATAGAATATTTTAAGTAAAATGTTGATAAAAAAATATATTATTCATATTTTGTAATAACAATATATTAAAGTTTGTGAAAATTTGAATTTTCATGTATTATTTTACGGTATTAAACATTGAAATAGGTGTATAATATAGGTTTGGTTGGGTTAGATTATATATACTTCGTATAATATAAAAATTGACTTGTAATAAATAAATTCTAATTTTAATTAATAGTTATATCTCTAAAGAGATAAAACATCTTATTAAGTAATATTTTTGTTCGTGTTAAATTAAAGATAGTTATTTTAATGCTAATAATTTTCATGAAAAATCTATACATATAACATATTTAGTCTGAAAGATTGTGTTTACTTCTGTCTTTATTTATAGAACATAGCTAGCGTTTTATAGTGTAAAATAAATACAGAAAAATTCAAATTTTTACAATATTTAAAATTTCACAAAAAATAAACTATAGAACATTTTTTCACCATAATATTTCTTAAATTTATTGTAAAAAATGGCCATTTTGAATTTTTTTAAACATTTATCGTAAAATTTTAAAACTATTAAATTAATATTATTACATTATCATTATAGCCCTTAAGTATATTAAATATTTAAAAAAAATTAGCAAAAAATATTAACAGGATCAAGAGTTATATAAGTTGTTAGTGATTGCTGGGAAACCTTGTATATCAATGTTGATAGAGAGGCACTTATTACTTATTATAACAATGGCGTCAAAATGAAACAAATAATAAGATAAAAATAAAAACAAAACAATATGGTTAACAACTGTTTATTTACAATGATGTTAATAACTGTTTGAAATAAGTGGAAGGCGAATGAAGTCGTTGGTATGGCAATTAAACCAGAGAAAATGTACTGTGTCGTACAACAATCTTATACGTAATCATACCACGTAAATAAATCCCTCGCACTACCTGTGGTGCGTTGCCATTCACAACAACACAACGTCTCTCGTAACTGCATTTCCAACATGAACCCTACGTTGAAAGCCTAAGCATTCAAGACAAACTGCTTGACATTCTCAATTGAACTTTAATCTTAAATCTATCTTAAAACTAAAATGGAATTATGTATATATACATAGTTATTTTAAAGGACCACTGAGGACACATAGGAAGGAACAGGATAAATAATAAACATGTTAGATATATTAATCACTCACGGGTAGTTTGACTAATTTTACTACCAGTTTTTTGAAATCACCGTCTATGGTATGTACGGTAGCCACGCGCATTATTTAATCAGCAACCGGATGTACTACTATAATGCATATAATCCATATTCCATTCGCTAGGGGGACGATCGGAGCTTCAAAGGTGACAAGATCTCCAATATTAATATTTTCTTTCCTTTTTGTCCATTTAAGTCAGCCTTTAAGGGTTGTCAAATATTCACTTGACCAACGTTTCCAAAACGATTGGTGTATTTAGCAGATTAGTTGCCAACGCGTCAAGCGGTTCATGGATATTGCAGTTAAGTCAGTTTCAGGTACAGAGATTTGATCGGCGGCGGTTTCTTTATTGATAGTAGTGAGAACTACTGTCTTTTGTTGATAATCCGATAGTTGCTAAGGCTTCAATAGGTCGTGATTATGTCTCGGCCATTGTTCGTCAATTAATCGTTAAAACGCTGGTCCTTTTCCATAAATGTGACATAATACGGTGTTGTGTAGTAATGAACCGCGCGATGCCGGGTCCGTGGAATTGTCGACCGTGTTAATATAAAATAATTTATACTCCAGTATTAATTGCTGTATTTTTATTTAATTTTAGCTTCAATGCGAAGCGGAGAAGGTATTAATTTTACTATGATGTGTTTTTTTTTTTTTTTTTTTTGTATGTCTGTTGCCACTTTTTCTCAGCTCTCACTGGACCGATTTCTTTCAAAAATACGTCAAAAGATCACAAATCGTATCTAGTTGAAGACATTACCCTTAAAAATTAAAAAAATTCCCTTGTTCCCCGCAAATGGGGGAAATATCCAAAAAAATTACAAATTTAAAAATCGCTAGTTTTTGAAATTTTTTCACTTTTTTTTCTTAAAACTTCCATAAATTTTTGAAAAATCAACAAATCAACATAAATTTTTTTTATACTAAAACCTTAGATATTTACCTTTCATTTGATATCATTTTTTTGAAAATCTATCACTTAACCTGCTCATTGGGGGGGATTTAAAATGGCAACTTTTTTACAAAAATTAATTTTTTCAACTTAATTTTTGAAAATGTTCCGGAAAGACTGCGTCCTTTAAACATATATCAAATTAAAGCTTATTTTATGTACTACAAAATGAAAAAAAAAAATTTGTCCCGACACTTTTTTTTCTACATTTAAACGGCTGCCGTAGTTAAAAAAACACTATTTTTGTGTTAAAATTTTCGATTTTCGATTTTAAATTTTCAACTTAAAAATGCTATAACTTTTTGAAAAATGTATATATCAGCACAAATTTTTTTTTTCTAAATACATTATAAGTACATCTTTCATTTGACATACTTTTTATTAAAATTGGACAATTTCCCCTTATATAGGGGGCGTTCAAAACTTAAAATATTGTAAAAAACATAGATCTTTTTCAACTGAACTTTTGAAAATGTTCCGGAAATACTGCGTCCTTTAAACATATATCAAATCAAAGGTTATGTTATATACTATCAAATGAAAAAAAAAAATTTGTCCCGACATCTTATCTTCTATGTGCAAATGGCTGTCGAAAATTTAAAAAAAAATGTAATGTTTGCGATAAAAATTACATTTTATCGGGATGTTTTTTGTACTTAAAACTGCCATAACTTTTTCAAAAATGAACAAATAAAAATAATATTTTTTTGTATTGAAACCTTAGATATTTCCCTTTCATTTGATATAATTTTTTTTGAAAATCTAACACTTATTCTGCTCACTGGGAGGATTTAAAATAGTAACTTTTTTACAAAAAATAACTTTTTCAACTTAATTTTTGAAAATGTTCCGGAAATACTGCGTCCTTTAAACATATATAAAATTAAAGCTTATTTTATGTACTACAAAATGAAAAAAAAAAATTTGTCCCGACGATCTATCTTCTATACGCAAATGGCTACCATATTGAAAAATATACTATTTTTGTATGATAATTATGGGTTTTGTATTTTATTTTAATAGAAGTTGATGTTGCTTTTGCAATTATCCATCAATTTTTTAAAATTAAACACTATCTACAGATTTGCATCGAAGCGTTTCTTATGATAGTGATTTTAATCACTGTCAGATTAAATCTATACTGGACCCAACTATGCAATGTCTCCACTATGCCGCGACCCTACTGTGCTACCGTTTTTTTTTTTAGTTATCTCTAGTTACATATTATTATATAATTATTAGCTATGTAATACTTTATCAGTTCATCCATACGACTTTTAAGAGTATCAACATTGTTTTTTCACATGTGATTACATATTTTGAATTTAATATAATGTTTTAGGTTTTATTCTAATAGTAAATGGCATTTGAATTTTTAGCATAAATTTATTCGTTTACTAGATAAAAACTTTAAACTTTCAAATTATTGAGTTAATATACTTGTATAATACACGAGTGATTACAAATACAGGTAGCTAATTGGTTTTTTATTACGTCACAGATATGCAGCATTTATTATCAATTATGACTTTACCCACAGATATTCTTAAAGTATGTTAAGCTTAAAGCATGCTTGAACAATGCCCCGCGACTCGTGCCACCTTTATCAGCCGTCGCCCTACTATGAGTATTTTACTGATCAACACCACGTGCCATACGCTACGGTGCAAAATCCAGAAAGTGCTGAACGGTTGACGATTACCCGTCGCAAATGATACGTTGAGTCTTCTTCCCGTTGTCAAAGTGTCAAAGTTGAGGACGTACCCCACCGGCTCCGGTCGTGACCGGACTCGACGAATCGAACTGCACCCGAGCACCTTCACTATCAACGCTGCTAAATTTTCGACGCCCGAGGATTATGCCAGACACGGCGTCGCCGACAACAGCGAAAGTTCCGCGATATTATGCGAAGGTTATTATTAACGGTGTTCGTATTTTCGATTTGTTTTTTTTAAATAACTTGTTGTTGTTGAATAATAAACGGCCCCGGCTCTCTACCCTCAAAACCAGTATCGACTACATTATAGCGACTTAAGTCGTGTCAGTAGTAAAGTATATTGTTATGAGTTTATAAATATTTCAACTGGCAATACTGATAATTAATTCCTATTGAATTATAAATTTAAAAAAATATATTACATTAAATAATGTAATATACCAAGTTCAAGACCTATATTATTTTAATTCTAATACATCCGATAGTTTCCGGACTCTTGCAGATCATTATACATAATATTTAGTAAAACACGCATCACCATATTAAATGATTCATGAAAAAAGAACAATTAAATATTTAATTGGTCATATTAACTTTTCAAAATTGCCATGCTTATCAATTTTAACTAAAAAATTCAATTTAGTGTTGCCAGTTTTCTATATATAAAACCTGATACCTAAAATATATAAAATCATTTAAATTTATTTGAAAAGAAGTATAGAAAATATCAAATGCTATCATAATGTATATTGTTAATAATTTAGAACACTTAAAAATTATGCATAAAAAGATTATAAATTATTTAGTAAGAATTCATTTGTATTAGCTTGAATAAAAATATCTACATCACACATTTTATGGTCTGTTAACCTGTTTTTGCTGTAATTAAGGTGAAGTTAGCTAAATTGGTAATCTAAAAAAGTTGACGCAACTTTAACTTTCTGGCTCTGAAGTTTAATTAAAATCGAAAAACAAAATATATGTATAGTTTATATTATGAGAGACTCTAAATTTGTTGGTTATACTTCGTTTCAATATTTTTCTATGATATTATTAATTATTTTTTTGAAACCACTCTGTACTTTATTACTATTACGTTAGAAAGTAAAAAAAATTGTCCGTTATATTATGTCATTTATAAATAATTAAGAATATTAAAAAAAAAATTATAACTACGTTTTTAATATAGTCTCTAATTAAATCAATCAATTGAATGTATCCTGTTTCCTTTATAAGACCATTTTGGCAAACCGAAGAGAATACATTTATGATAGCTTCAACCTCTTCTTTTTCAAGTTTTTCTATCTATAGAATGTAAAATAATATATTAAATAATTCAAGTAAAAATGATAATAAACTAATTAATATGTGATCTTACATTTTTGTCATCTCCCAGCTTATTTTTTGTACCAAACATTTTCAGAATCTCGAAAGTTCTTGTATTGGGATTATCTATAAAATATTGATACATTAAATACAGAGTGATTAAAATTTCATGTTACATCATTTTTATCAAAAATTAATAAATATATAAAAAATCGTTTAAAATAAAAAGTTGTTATCATATCTTATTAGAATTAATTTTTTAACATGTAATTTCATTTTGAATCGGTAACGTGGCAGTGCTTGACACGCAATGATTCTGTTTGAATTTTAATCACGGACGGCTTCATTTAACGAGCGAGAGATCAATTCGGTAATTGGAGTCCGCGTTTTCTCTTTTAGGCGACAAACTAATAACTCGTCCGGGAGTAACATTGGTTAAGATACCTCATTCTTTAGGGAGGGGGAGCGCTATGACTCTTAATGTGCTTAAAATGCTTTAAAAAATTGGTGGTTTATAGGGGTTATGTTTGAAAAATGAAATGGAAATACATGTTATTATTTAAGTGTAATATTTTTTTTTTTTTTTTTTTTTTTT